CCCACCTGGCTTCACTGGGTCGTTTCCTGCAGGTACCCAGTGGAGCCTCTGGCGGCAAGTCTACGGTCTCCGCCAGGCGCCTCGCGAGTGGCACGACACACTGAGGACGACGCTTGCGGCTCTTGGGTTTGCTCCTTCGACTGCTGACCCGTCGCTGTTTCTACGCACCGACACTTCTCTGCCGCCGTTCTACATCCTCGTGTACGTTGACGACTTGGTCTTTGCCACTGCTGACACTGCTGGACTGGCCTTTGTGAAGTCGGAGCTGCAGAAGAGACACACGTGCACAGACCTGGGTGAGCTGCGCAGCTATCTTGGCTTGCAGATCACCCGGGACAGAGCACAGCGCACCATTACCTTGACTCAGTCACACATGGTGCAGCAGGTCCTTCAGCGCTTCCGCTTCACGTACTCCTCGCCACAGTCCACTCCTCTGCCTACCGGTCACTCGCTCTCAGCTCTGCCTTCGGATGAGTCCGTAGAGCCGAGTGGCCCGTATCCAGAGCTTGTGGGCTGCCTCATGTACCTGATGACCTGCACTCGACCTGGCCTTGCTTACCCTCTTAGCATCCTGGCACGCTACGTTGCGCCCGGGAGACACCGACCAGAGCACTGGGAGGCCGCTAAGAGGGTGATGCGCTACTTGTGCAGTACGTCAGGCATGGGGCTCGTGCTTGGAGGACGGGCTCGAGTTGTCCTCACTGGTCACGCAGACGCTTCTTGGGTTGACGACTTGGCTACGCAGCGGTCGTCACAGGGTTACACTTTCAGCCTTGGCTCCGGCTCTGTTTCGTGGCGGTCTACCCGCTCGTCTTCTGTTTTCAGTTCCAGTTGTGAGGCTGAGATCTACGCAGGGGCCATGGCTGCACAGGAGTTACGCTGGCTCACCTACCTGCTGACCGACTTGGGAGAGCCGCCTCGTTCTCCTCCAGTGCTGTACGTCGACAACAAGGCCATGATTGCCTTGTGTCAGGAGCACAGACTGGAGCATAGAACGAAGCACATCGCTCTGCGCTACTTCCTTGCTCGAGAGTTGCAGCAGCGTGGTAAGCATCGTCTTGCTTACGTGGCCTCTCGGGCCAACACTGCTGATATCTTCACCAAGGCACTTCAGCCTTGTGATCATCAGCGTTTCTGTACTGTTCTAGGCCTTGTGCCTACTTGGCCTCACTTGCTCACTTCTTGACTTTGCTTGTACTGTGATCTATATACTTATACCTGCATGCTTACACTTGCTAGGTTGTGATCACTGTACTGCTTGTTCTCTTTTATATAACTCTGCATGTGAACTGGCCTTGTGGCCATTTGCTTGTGCTCAGAATGCATGGTGACTTCGTGATCCACCCTGAGCTTGCTTTGCTTTTCTTGACCGGTCTTGTGACCTCTTGTTCTCACCCAATTTGCCTATGGGGGTGTGTCAAACTTATATGCTGCTTATCGTGTAGGCTATAGTGGGGTAGCCCATATGGGGTACAACCCAATTAGGGTTTGCTACTTGTACCCATCTTGCTGCTAGTTCATTCATTCTCGCTTACTGATTCTGACACATCAAATCATCGCCGACGCACTCACACGCCCCACCGCCCAACTCCACGCCATCCTACTCGCCCAAACCAACCCGCTGTTAACAAGCCTATTCTCCCACGAATACAGTACGGACCCATTTTTCACGACCGGGAATTCACAGCAACTGGCAGAAGCTAAAGGAGTCTATTATGTAAAGACAGGCACCAACCGCATTTGGGTACCCGCGTACTCACTACTAAGGGAACTGTTACTGCAGGAGGCACACGACGGGATTACCTCGGGCCACCTCGGGGTAGAAAAAACACGACAGCAACTACAGCGGTACTACTACTGGCCGGAGCTGTTGACCGACGTACAGCACCACGTGGGCTCGTGTCCTACGTGTCAGGTGATGAAGAGCTCGCGAAAAAGAAAGGTGGGTCAGTTGCAACCGATTCCACCGCCCGAGCGCGCCTGGCAGCAGGTTACCATGGATTTCGTCAGAGGGTTACCTTCGAACCCTGGGAGTAACGACGCGGTAATGGTCGTCGTTGACAGACTGACGAAAATGGCTCACTTCGCTGCGTGCAGAAAATCGATCTCACCCGAAGAAACCGCTCGTCTGTTCATCGCAACCGTCGTTCGACTACACGGGATACCAGCCGCGATCATCAGCGGCCGCGATACGAAGTTCACGAGCAACTTCTGGAAGAACCTCTGGGAGCAGTTCGGGACCAGGCTACAGTTCAGTTCATCGTACCACCCCGAGACCGACGGTCAAACGGAGCGGACCAATCAGACGATGGAGCAGTTGATTCGGGCCACGTGCGACGACTCGACAACTTGGGAGCAGCAGCTGCCGCTGATCGAGTTCGCCTACAACAACGCCACGTCAGCGACGACGCATCAGTCCCCGTTCTACCTGAACTATGGGCAAAATCCAACAGTACCCATGACGCCGAGTCCGGACAACCCAACGCCACACGCACAGCAATTCGCCGAGATTCTGCAAGCTGCCCGCACCAGAACCGCCGAAGCAATTAAAAAAGCCAACGTCATCGCAAAACGCAACGCTGACTGCCACCGCCGCCCAGTCACGTACCAGCTCGACATGCATAACTTAAGACTGCCCGTCGCGCCAAAATTACGACCGCGCACCGTGGACCATTCCAAATCAGCCACATGATCACCCCAGTTACCGTCACCCCCCGGATAAGCCCCCATGGGGGGTATAATAAAACATGGTTTTTTAGGGGGGTGGGCTTATAATTGAGTAAATTTATAAGCGCCGGGGCTTATATAATGACATATATGAAATTTACTGTTTTTTACATCAAAGTGTTCATCTCGTTTGAATCGAGTCAAAATTAGCGAGGGCTGTGAATGAGACTCTCGCGTAAGTTGGCAGGGATAGATTCCGTGCCAACACACACAGTCAGAATGAGTCATGTTTTCTCCATGACAGGTCATTCTGACTAGACGCGCACGAAGTGAGTCGCTCGAGGGTGAAGGCCATCGAAATTCGGGACACAAACTGTGTGTTTCGTTACAGATGTTTCATTAAAAATATAAAAAACAATACAGATTAAGGCGCTTATACTCTATAAGCCATCAGGGGTGTGCTTATAATCGAGGACCGGATATAAGCACCATATGCCAATTATAAGCGCCTGGCGCTTATCCTAGGGTGGCGCTTATATCCGGGAGGTGACGGTACCGCCCACTTACTGTTGCCGACCGACTGGTACATCAGCCCGTCATTCCACGTCAGCCTGCTTCACCCATACATCCCAACCACGAGCCAACTGCCTCGTCACCGCCCGCCATCCATGACTCGCCCTGCATCGGAGCCGATCATCGAGCCCGAAAAAATTCTGAGCCATCGGATTCGTCATCCCACAGGCATCAAGAGGATCGAGTTCCTCGTTCGCTGGAAGGACCGCACGCAGGGTCCTCGCTAGGATTTGAACCCCCCTGATGCGTCAGACGGGCCCTTCGGGCCCGTCTGATGCATCAGATATTTTGCCTTTGCGTGTTTGATGCATCAGAAATTTCCAAAGAACTTGTCTGACCAATTAAAATAGAGTTTCTAGCGTGTAGATGCACGTAGGATAAAAAGTTGAGTCTGACTTTTCTTGACCTGTCACATTCATTCGAAGTACACACTGGTGTGATTCGGACTTCACTGGTCTCAGCAAATTCGCCCTAACAAGGCAGATTCTCCCTATCAAAGCACAAAATATTCGCCCAATCAGAGATAATTCGATCTGACACGGCAGATTCGCGACGTCAAAGCACAACATGTTCGTCCAATCACATAAAACGCGTCCTGACACAAGAGATTCGACCTTACACAACACAACAGATTCGCTTTGACAACAGATTCGCCCTGTCAGAGCATGTTCTGCGGGAAATCCCCGTACTCTAACATGTTTCGGTTTCAGACGAAACATAGACTACACTTCTGATGAATCAGATGAAGACAAACAAGGCTCGACGATGAACGTCGTAACGGTTGCGTAGACGCTGATATCATACTCAAGATAAATGCAACACCGTTATATATATCCGTACCCTTCTTCCACCCTCTACAGCCGTTTTTGTTTTTTATGTATTGCATTCTATCTCACACCTAATGCCCAATCATGTGGAATTTCGACTGAAGAATATAAGCACGTACTATGTGGTTACTTTTGGTGTATATGAGTGATTTACGACTCCACTATTATGGGGTATTATGGGGAACGTGCGTTTCGCTTTTCGCTTTCGTCGAGTTTTCTGGAGCTGACGCAAACTGCACATGAAATCTAGTGTATCAGCTGAGTCAGCTGAATCTCATGTGCTCACATATGTGAAACCACCTCAATAACCCAACCCAACCCAAGAACCAAGAAACCAGTTCTTTCCACTCACGCTAGTATCACGCTAGTACCTCATGCTACCGCTAGTACCTCACGGAGTACCCCACACTAGTGCCTCACGCTGGTATGAACCTCAGCTCCTTATCCTGTAACAAGCGCCCATGACCATGAAACCGCTCGTGGAAAACGCCCCTGACAAGCGCCCGTGACAAACGGCATGTTTCGTGAGTACAAGAGTGATATTCGCCTTGCTGCAGCGCGCTGCCAGCCCCTTGCTGAGGCAGCGCGCCGACGCCTAGCAGCGCGCTGGCGCCTTGGCCGTCTAGGCGTCTAAGTGCGTTAGGTGCTAGGTACCAGCGCACTCTAGCACCCAGCGCGCTCCTGCAGGCTGGAGCTGCCGCCGGCGCTGGCGCCTAGCGCGATGGCGCATTGCGCGCTGGCGCCTAACGCGCTGGCGCCAAACGCGCTAGCGCCAAATGCGCTGGCGCCTAACGCGCTGGCGCCTAACGCGCTGGCGCCTAACGCGCTGGCGCCTAACGCGCTGGCGCCATACGCGCTGGCGCCATACGCGCTGGCGCCATACGCGCTGGCGGCTTGTGCGCTTCTGCCTTGTTGCGGCAGAGCGCTGACTAATTATTGCGCACGCTCAAGCGTTGCTGCAGTGAGCTCACGCCTTGCTGCAGTGAGCGCACGCCTTGCTGCAGTGAGCTCACGCCTTGCTGCAGTGAGCTCACGCCTTGCTGCAGTGAGCTCACGCCTTGCTGCAGTGAGCTCACGCGTTGCTGCAGTGAGCTCACGCCTTGCTGCAGTGAGCTCACGCGTTGCTGCAGTGAGCTCACGCGTTGCTGCAGTGAGCTCACGCGTTGCTGCAGTGAGCTCACGCGTTGCTGCAGTGAGCTCACGCCTTGCTGCAGTGAGCTCACGCGTTGCTGCAGTGAGCTCACGCCTTGCTGCAGTGAGCTCACGCGTTGCTGCAGTGAGCTCACGCGTTCCTGCAGTGAGCTCACGCCTTGCTGCAGTGAGCTCACGCCTTGCTGCAGTGAGCTCACGCCTTGCTGCAGTGAGCTCACGCCTTGCTGCAGTGAGCTCACGCCTTGCTGCAGTGAGCTCACGCGTTGCTGCAGTGAGCTCACGCCTTGCTGCAGTGAGCTCACGCCTTGCTGCAGTGAGCTCACGCGTTGCTGCAGTGAGCTCACGCGTTGCTGCAGTGAGCTCACGCCTTGCTGCAGTGAGCTCACGCCTTGCTACGGCAGCCCGCTTGCTCCTCTGCCGGTGCCTTGCTGCAACTCTCTGGCGCCTTGTAGCATGGCGATGCCCAGCTCGTTGCACCAATGCACCTTGCTCGCTGGAGCCTTGCTGCACACCAGCGTGGTGTGTGTGACCCCAGGGAATCTATGCTTCAAACCACGCTTGTGAGTCGTCAAATTCGGTTTTCTTTTGTACTTATCATATTTCAACCCATACTTGGTTTTGAAGTTCCATTTTACGATCAAGTGCGTGCTCCTCATTGAATAATTCACTCCGTTTTCCGACTACAATTCATTTTCTACTTGACCTGTTTGTTTTGCAAGGTGTGCGAGACGCGTTGTGGGGAGCAGGGAGGGGAATTCGAGAGAGAAGACAATGTGGAAAAGGGTGGGAGGAGATTTTGATGGTAGAGGGAGAGGAAGGAAGGCGGAAAGGGGGAGGAAGGGGGGACAAGGTAGCAGTGATTGATACATAATTGACTTATTGCAACTCTTTTTTATGCTTGTCTGCTGTCAATCCTATTTGTGTATGTATGTGTGTGCAGTGCGGGTGTGTTTGTGCGGGTGTGTGTTCATGTCTTCTCATTGTGTTTGTTTCACTGTGGGGTTGCACTTCGATGCGTTCGGTTACGTGGGTTATACTTTTTTTACGTGCGTTTGCATTCGTGTTTGTGGTATGTGTGTTTCAAAGTGTGGTGTTAGTATGTGTTATGTATGCAATTAGAGGTTGTTAATCGTCTTTGGGGCAGCGTGTTTTCGCTGTTTCAACGACCCCATCAACCCCGGTTGCTGCATGATGCATTTTAACATTCAATTTGAAGCATCCACTCCACCTCATACCTTGTTGTTCATCTGTACAATTGAATTCGTTCATGTTGATGCCAGAATGTTATGCTCGGCCGTACAATCCGCCGTATTTATCGACGAGGTTGGGACGGTCGAGCAACTTCATGGTTTCAACATGATACGTACGTGCGTACCGGTATTTGGTTTTACATATGGGGCTCTCATTCAAGAGTGTTTTTTATCCACTATTTGAGGCATCTGTTTGAACACAGATTCAAAACATTCAAACCGGTGCTCCAAAAAGTGCGTAAATATCACTCTTCAAATGATATCCCCAAAATGCAAAACCAAATATAAAGGGTTGCTACGCAACCCAAAAATCATTTCTACTCAATCAGATGAGAAGAAAATCCATTTCTTGAAAATCAGATTAACTGGAAAAAAACCGTCTGGAAACTCAGACAAACAGACAAAAATGTCTGATAGCGAGGACCCTGACGTAGAGTGTTCTGCTGCTGAGCGTCTGAGCGGGATGGTTTGACCCGATCCGTTTCTCTTAAAACCCGAAGCCTGAATTACAAAAAAAGTTGGGAGGTGTTAACACTTTCCCTCCCGAACCAGGGTGGTTACCAGTTGTTCACCTGCAAAACGTGATGAAGTCGCAGTCAGCACAGGGAAGTGTCGCTCGGGAAGTGCGCAACCACTCTGGGCGTTGGTGTGCACACCAAATTGGAAACCTGTAATTCAGGTCGTTCGAAATAGCTTAGGTGTGCACACCCCTTGTCGAGTTGTTTGCCTGTTGGCGAAAACATGGCGTCGCACTTTGTTTTCGCTGAGCAAGGAGCTTTCGAGGTTGCCCCGAACCTCAGTTTGCTTGGCCCCCCTTCATCCCAAACCTAGAGTTGACTCGCATATGTAATTCAGGCTTCGGGTTTTAACCGCACTTGCTGCCTGCATGCGTGCTGCACTGCCCCGGTGTCGCTCGTATTCATTACGGCCACCCACGGTCCCCTACCCCAAGTCCCCGACCGAACCGAACCCCCGGTAGCGCGCGAGGGAGACGATAAGATCCTCTCCTGTATTTGGTCTCTTCAAGAGAAGTTTTCACAACCGTCGCCCAGGGATGCCCAGTCGAGAAAGGAGAAGCATAAGATCCCCTCCCGCCGCTTCCTCACCTCCTCATTTCCCGTTTTCTTCTCGGGAGTTTCCTTCGCCTGTGCCTCGTCACAGCGCTTCCCTTTCGCTCTTCTCACGACCTGTCACGGAAACCCGACCTGCCTGCATCGCGTAGCGCTAGCACTAGACGTATAGGCTCTTAGAAAAGCTTCAACGAGTAGCTGCTTCGGCTTTCAGTGGAAACCTCAACTAGTAACTTCAACTGGTACTAGTACTGCCGCTGTGCACCTCCAACGGTATTAACGTTTAATCCCTGGAGGGCTCATTTACACTCAACGCTTTTGTCGTCCACGCCCGCTCTCCCCCTCCGCACGGCACTCTCCCCCTTCGCACGGCGCTTATCTCCACGTGAAACCTCCGTCACCTGCTGCCGCCAGTGCAATCTTCCTGTGCTGCGAAGCTCCAGGGCCGCACACCCCCAGGGTGACTTCGTCTCTACCACTCCCCACTTCCCCTTTCCTGGCGAGCGGCCAGTGGGAGAGGGAAGGAGCGCTTTCGAGAATGAAGCTCGCCCTCCTTGGAACGACAGTTTGCAATCGGGGCAGAAGCAGCAGCAGCAGCAGCAGCAGCAGCAGCAGCAGCAGCAGCAGCAGCAGCAGCAGCAGCAGCAGCAGCAGCAGCAGCAGCAGCAGCAGCAGCAGCAGCAGCAGCAGCAGCGGCGGAAGCAGCAGCAGCAGCAGCATCGGCGGCGGCGGCGGCGGCGGTGGCAGTGGTGGCTTGAGTGACACGAAGCACAAGATTAAGAGTGGAAGCCAAAGCAGCAGCAGCAGCAGCAGCGACTCAGACATTGCCTTTGAGACTGCCGGGAATCACCTCCTGCCTCTCAAGTTCCAGTTCCACACTGGTAACCACACTTGTAACCAGGCTGCTAACGAGGCTGCTAACGACGCTGGTAACGACGCTGGTAACCACACAGGGGCTTCTATTGGTCCCTGCCACCCGTTCTACCGCCACCTCGGCAGGAGCTGCCGTCCTGACGGCAGTCCCAGGCACTTGCACGCGCCCTGCTCTCTGCACCGCCCTGCCAGGGCCCATCCGACGGTCGCCATGCCTCCGCCACTTCATCTGGACGGCTCTCCCTGCGTCTCCCCACCCACTGCGCTTGCCTGGGATGGGCTTGGACCAGCAGCAACGACAGCAGAGGCAGCAGCAGCAGCAACGGAAGGAGTGGGAAGGCTGACGAGCAGCCCACGGCACGTGAAGAGACCCCGGGGGCGCAGCAGGCTGCAGTGTGCGGTGCTGCTGCCAGGGTTGAAGGATGCTCACGCTGCAGCGGACGTAGAGTGTTCGGCTGCTGCTCACTCCACTGTCAGCGCTGCTGCCGCTGTTGCTGCTACTGCTGGTGCTGCTGAAGGCGACATGGATTGGTCAAACAACACGACGACGAAGAAGCAGAAGAGAGAGGGTCCGACAGCTGGTTGTGGAGTGAGGCGCATGCTGCGGTTGAGTCTGCACGAAGGGGAGCACCGCGAGGAGGGCGGGGAGCTGCAGCTGCAGCCGCAACAGCAACAGCAAGAGCAACAGCAGGGCTCCAGCTCTGCCGGTTCTGGCTCCGCCTGCATTACTCTTGGCCCCACGCTGATGTACCAAGCTGTTCCTGCTGCAGGCAACGCTTCTGAGGGTGAGTGAGTCGCTGCTAGCAGTCAGCAGCTAGTAGTTGGTTAGCAGCTTGCGGGTTGCAAGTGTTCTGGTTCTTCTTATGACTCACAAGTGGTTGCCACCTCCTTCTCAGCTGCCATTTGCGCGCTCCCTTGCTTCTCCACTCTCTCTCTCCTTCTCTCCCTCCCTCACACCCTTGCTACCTCGCACTCACACTCTCCTCCCCCTTACCTTCTCCCTCTTTCTTCCTTTCTCCCCTTTCTCCACAGGAAACCAGTCCGAGCTCCCACCTTCAGCACCCTCCCAGCCCAGCCCACTGTCGCTTATACCTACTCACTTCCCTGCACCAGCACCAGCAGCAGCATCAGCACCAGCATCAGAACCAGTGGCACCAGCACCAGCACCAGCACCACCAGCACCCGCGGCACCAGCACCGGCAGCACAAGAAGCCACGGAGATAGAAGAGCCTCTCTACTCCCCTTCCAACCTGCAGTCCCCTCGCCGGCCGTTTGATCCCTTCGCTGCGCCGCTCACCTGCCCCAGCACGCCCCGCAAGCCCAGGCTCTCTGGTGGGTCGGCGTTGGTGCACCTGCGGGCGATGGAAGCTGGGACACCAGGCAGGCGTGTCATGCGCCGCCTGCTCTTCGATTGATACACAGATACACTATACTGCTCTTCTTCCAGTAAAGCTCGGGCTCACCCTCTTCCGTTAACGCTCTTCCTCTGGTGGTCGCGCACTGATGCTGTTCCTTCCACTACTACCGTACCTTCCACTGCTGTCTTCCGCTACCGCTGATGACCTTCCCATTCCACTGACTTAACCTGACCTCATCCATTAAATGACAAGCCCGGGTGACTTCTGCTCATGTCAGGAAGTTGACTCACTGTGTGACACCCCATGACTCTCGCATACGCCCTCCACTGACCTGCAGCCGATACAAAGCTTCTCGTTCTGTTACCCCTGCTTCTGATTCTGACCTTTCCCTCCTGCCGGCTGCCCTCCCCTGCTGCTGCCCCAAGCGGTTTGCTGCCAAGACCCCATCATTCATACCCTCATCATATAACCCTATCCCGCACCACCAACACCTGATTTACTGGTAACACTCCCAGCAGCAGCGAGTACTGTGCAGTGCACTGTATCGCACCTCATTCCAAGCATGAGCAGCAGTGTCTGTGCCACAAGTCGCGGCTGTTGCTTGTTGCTTGCTGCTGCAGTGCACTATCCTGAGCTCCCCTCATGCAGTGCAGTGCACTATCCTGTCGGCTCTCTCATTTCAGCTTTTCAACCACCTGCTGCCTGCAGCAGCCCTAACAACCCACCTATCCAAGTAAACTCCTGATGAGTACCGTATATTCCTGACTGACAACTGGTACTACTATATCCCCCCCCTCTTTTTCTGCTCTGGTACTTCTGTACATGCAGGGTAGGGGTTTGATGTGTAGGGTTGTTTTTCTCCTGGATGTACACTGCACTGTATATATATAAATAACTTAAGCTTCCAGAAAAAAACATTGTTGTTAGGATTGATGGAATGTCAAATGAATTTAGGATTGTTTTTCTCTTTTCTACGGTAGGTGTGAAAAACATGTGAAAAAAAAACACATTCCCACAGCCCAGGTTATACAATTCAGCTACATCCTTCAGTCGCAACTGCAAATTCAACCATCCATCACTTAAGAAATGAGGTCCATATCAGTATCAGAATTCATGGCCCCTAGCCGAATTTCCAACTAAACCTCCTTACTGCCATCATAACCACACACTGCCTTTCTTCTGTCACCTTCTCCCTTGCAACCAGAGTCAACATGGTGCTTCCTTGCAAAATGCACCAAGAGCCACCCTCCCAACCCCCTCAGTTCAGACACCCCAAACCCCATAGCAGATAAGACAAGTTTCAATAAAGCCCTAGCAGAACTCACCAACCAGCCCCAGAGCATGGGAAAACACAGCAGTCACCGCAAAGCGCCACAGGCCTCAACAATTTGTTCATGCCTGCTCTTCCCAAAGCTACCTGTGAAAGCCCAGCCTAGCAATCGAGTCGCTAAGAGGCCCTCACTTGGACGTTTCTGCTGCAGTAGTAGCAGCACCACCGGCTGCCGCAGCACCGGAATCCACAGCTGCTGGGGCAGCAGCAGCAGCAGCAGCAGCAGCAGCAGAATCAGCACCACCTGCTGCAGCAGCAGCACCCCGACCCACCTGCAAGGAACCCATTGCATCAGTCACTTCACCAACAGACGCAGCAGACGTGCTGCCAGTAGCAGCAGACGCCCCCTCTGCCGCAGCAGCAGACTCAGCAGCACCAGCAGGGGCAGTAGCACCAGGGGCCTTGTCAGCAGTAGGAGCGGCTGAAGACTGGCCTGAAGCAACAGGAGCGGCAGCGGTAGCTGCTGCTGCTGCCTCTGCTGCTGCAGGAGAGGCCCCTGCAGGGCCGCCTGGGGCAGGCGGCTGGGTTGACTGCAAGGGCTGGCCTCGGCCTTGGTTGGGATGGTACGCACGCTGGTGGGGTGATGATAGCACAAGGAACCACAGCGGGGACACAAGCAGGGCTCTTGTTGAGACACAAAGGAAAAGGACGGCAATCACGCGTATAAGAACAAGCTAGCTGGGGCGAGGACGGTCAAGGACGCACAACCAGAAACCCATCAGACAGTGCAGTGCAGTGCAGTGCAGTGTGAGACGAAACGAGGCATAGCAGGAAGAGATGATAGCACAAGAAATGATAGGCGCATACCTGGTGTCGGTGCATGCCCCCACGGCCATACGGGCCGCCATGGTAATGCGGATGCGGCTGCTGGTTGTGGTGCTGCAGAGGCGGAAACGCCAGCATGTGTTGCTGCTGGCGGTGGTGCGGGTGCTGCTGCTGCTGCTGCTGCTGCTGCTGCTGCTGCTGCATGTGGTGCTGATGCTGCTGCTGCATATGATGCTGATGCTGCTGCTGCTGGTGCTGCTGATGCGGGTGCTGCTGCTGCTGTGGGTGCTGGGGGTGCGGGTGGTGCTGCTGGTGCTGCAGACGCTCCTTGCGTGCCTGCATGGCCTTCTGCCTCTTGTCGTAGAAGTCAAAGTCATCGAGAATGGACGTGCGGGACATGTAGTCCTTGAATATGCGCAGCATCTGCTGCCCTTGCTCTTGCGGCACCTGCCCACGTGCAAGCACGCACACACACGCACGCACACACACGCACGCACGGACACACACGCACGCATGGATACACATGCACAGACACACACACGCACACAAGCATGAACATGAGCGGCGTGCAAACACACGCACACACAACAGAACCCACAGTAAAAACAGCTGGAAGCAACAACCACAAAGTCGTGACAACCCTAAACCCTTCCACAAACACCAAGGTAACATCACCATCATCCCACCCATCTCTCACAACCCCACCTCGACTCCCCCCAACCGCACACCCCCACACCCGTTACCCATCCCTCCCCCCCCCCCCCCCCAAAACCCCTCCCCGCCTCAACTACCTCCCTCTCCCCTCTGCCCTCACCTCCTGTGTGTCGCGCGAGTTGGTGACGGGTTTGTTCTCGTTGGCAGCAATGATCATGTGGCGGAAGTGCGCGTTGGGCACGTCCTTGATCACATGCCAGCGCACCGTGAACAGCCCGTTCCACTTGTCCTGCTGCCAGAACGACACCGACCGCTGGAAGTCCACCGGCGACATCATCTCTGCAACGCCGCAGAACTGCCCGCTCGCGTTCACCTGGGGGAAGGGGAAGGGCGGGATAGCGAGGGGGAGAGGCCGAGAGAAGGGTCCGAAGGGGGAAGAGTAAGCATGTGAGGGGACCTCATCTCTGCCAGCCTGCAGGAGTGCCCCCGGAGGGGCGATGCGGGGCGCAGAGAGGCGCAGTGGGGTGAAGCACGGAGGAGGTAAGGTCGGTGTGGGTGAGAAAAGGGCGACGACGAGGGCAGTTGGCGACAAGTGTGTTATTCAAACAATGTGAACAAAACAATTCAAATGTTTCTGGTCAGTTGTGAGGTCAGAATGCGAAGATAGCGAGAGGGGAGCTGGGGCGTTAGCAGGGTTTAAGGAGGGAAGGGGGGAGAGGGCAGGGTACAATGACGGAGGGACATGGCATGGCAAAATGCAGAACGGCTAACAGAAACATGGTGGGAATCACGGACACGACATGCGAAGGCGGATGACCACGCACCGAGAAAAAGAGGAACACGGGGCATCGAGACGCAGTCGCAGCGGCCTTCGCGGATGCTTCCTGGAACGCGGCGTTGAGCCTCTTGTTACCGTTGGGGGTGGACGCCCACGCGCCGTACTTGATGCTCTTGTGCACGTCATCCTCGCTGTAACTCTTGATCACGAAAAACTTCGCCGCCTGGTACGTCACCGGGAAATCCGCCCTATTAATCTCCTCCATACCCTGTACGAGGCTCCAGGGGTTCGGCGCGCCCACGCCCGCAACACCAGCGGCGGCGGCGGCGGCGGCGGCGGGATTAGCGTGGGCGCCTAGGGGCGCGCCTCCCATGGCGGGAGTGGCGTACGATCCGGGCGCAGGACCGCCGGGCATGCCAGGGAAGGCGAGGAACCCGGGCGTGCCGGCGAGAGCAGGGAGCGCAGCGGCATTGCTAGCATTCGGGGCGCCGCCTTCCGCTGCTGCAGTGTTAGCAGCAGCACCCCCAGCCACCGCGCCAGCAGCGGCGCCTGCAGCAGCAGAGGTAGAAGCACCGCTGTTGGCAGCACCATCTGACCCTGCTACCCCGCCCTGCGCCCCTGCTGCTCCTCCCGCTGCAGCAGCAGCTGCCTGCGCACTTCCGTCCCCAGCAGCTGCCGCCGCACCTGCTGCTCCCATTGGCTGCTGCGGCTGCTTCCCCCGCCCCGCCCGGTTGGTCCTAGGCCCGCGGTTCTGCTCGTTAACCGCCTCGTGCATCCCGTTGCCTTGCATCTGAACCCCACGGCCCCCAGGTGCGCCCATCATCATCATCCCCCCCGGATACCCGCCGTACCCTCCCCTAGCACCTCGCGCTCCCCTGCCGCCTCTCCCTTTGTCATACCTCCCGGGGCCTCCGCCCCAGCCCCGTCCTCCCCTGCCCCCATCCCCCCTTCCCCGCCCGCCAACCCCCCCGGGGCCCATTCCGCCGCGGCCGTGCATGCCCGCGGGCATGTTTCCGAGGTGCGCGCCAGGGGGGCCGCGGCCCATGGGGATGGGCGCCCCCGGTGCGGCGCCTGGGCCTCCGGGGGGCGGCGGTCCGCCAGGAAGGGGGACGCCTTGAGGTGGCATGACACCGTTGGGGGGAACGCCGTGCATCTGGGGAAGTGCAGGGGTGACGTGCAGGAAGGCAGGCAACGGAAGCGGAGCATGCGCGTTTCGCGGTTAGAGAGGCAGACTTCCTAGATATAATGTTCTGCCCGGACGCGGGCAACCGCACTACGCCTTTGATTCGAATGTAGCGCTATGGCAGCAAGATACAGCAAACCATGCCCCGCTAAGCAGACAGCAACGAGACGCAGACACTAAAGATCGACGCAACAACCCTACGACGATAAACCATCAAGATGGACGCAACACCACGGAAACAACAGCACAAGGCAAGAGCGGCGAGAGCGGGAAAACGAACCTGCATGTGCGCGAGATGCGGCGGCGGGGCGATTCCCGCGGGCATCGTCTGGCCTGGAAGGAGAGGCATGGGCCCGGCCATGCCGTCCGCTGGTGCGGGCGCGGACGAGCTGCCGGACTGAGTCAGCTGATCGGGCAGCGCCGCGAGCTTCGACGGATCTGACGGGAAGGAGGGAAGGAAGGGAAGGAAGGGAGAAGATGCACACGATCTTGCAAGGCCGAAGAGGCTTGACAAAAATAACAATATGTCTATAAAAGTATTGAGGGGCAAGTAGATCCAAGCGAAGGTTGGGACGGCTGTAGAGCTGGAAATACAAGTTCGTTAGCTTGGAATGTTGTGGATCGTTTGTGAGAAAATGAGAGCTTACCGGCAGGAGGGGGGGGAACGGGCGGGGGGAAGACGGGCGGCTGGAACTGGAAGTGGTGTGGCGCGTACATCTGACACGGATGAAAGCCACACACGGGGAACGAGCCCGGGGAAGAGAAGGGGGCAAACAGGCGAGAAAGGGAGGTGAACAGACGAGCAACGGATAGTACAGGTACCAAGAGGAGGAGGCACGCGTGCAGAAAAGAAACGTTATTTCGCAAGCCTGGCATTCATGTTCATCTCAACAGATCAGGTCTCACCTGGGGAGGGTGGCCTTCTATGCCTTCGGGCATGAGACCAACGAGAGGAGGCCCCCCTCCAGGAGCGCCGCTGTTGGCCATACGCATGTACTCCTCCCACTGCTCGTGGGAGAACCTTCCAGGATCTGCACCGACGGAGAAACGTAACACACGGGTTCGTCAGCGTCTCGACGGAAGTTGAAAAACAGGTTCCACCACGCGAGGACGGGAAATTGAAAATGGGTTCGACGGCGCGAGAACCGCGAATGGTTAAAAACGCAGCGACCACGTTACCGAGAACCGTTCTAACTTGTTTAAGTTTCTAAAACTGGCCCGAATGAATGACACAAGGGGAACGCACCTGCGGAATAGTCATAGAAGTAGTGCGGAACAAATCCGTTCCCCGCAGCGTAGAACACATTCCCGTTAGGGTCTGATCCTGGAACCATCTGAACGTGCTGCTGCTGCATGTGCTGCTGCTGTTGCATGTGCATCTGATCCGGCGTTTGCGAAATGCCCGGATGTGGCTGCTGTGGTTGCTGCTGCTGCTGCTGGGATGGCTGCTGAGATTGCTGCGCATTCCCGCTCCCCGAGACTGCCTCCCCGCTCTGGCTGGATTGAACGACCGCATCGCCTGCTGGCTGATGGCGATATTGCCAAGGGACGGGGGATTGAAACAAGTGTGGGGACCGCAATGACAATGCTAATTTCTTCGCATGCAATGATAACTCATTTCTTCGTATGCAAACGTAGCTCATTTCTTCGCTGAGTAATGGTTACGTAGTGGTGGATTCATTGAGTTGTAAAGCAAACAGGCAAAAGGGAAAAATACGCCTTGCATGACGTCGCAACAATCAGAAAAAGAAGGGGGTTTAATGATAAGGTACACCGACCTCTGCACCAATGGATGAAGACCCGGGCGCGGGTGCGGTAGTCTGACCTGCATAAGCCGGACGAAGGGAAGACAGAGAGGGACGAAGCGGAGTGAGATATATTCAACAGGCACAATCCTGGCAAAGTCGGAAAAACTATCTGATCGTGATAATTACTCGTGCAAGCGGCCTCTTTAACGAGTCTCCATAGAGAACATTAAACGACGGTCGCTACCCCTATCTTCCCAAACCACCTCCTTACATCTTGAATCCCCTCGCAAGATTTGAACGTTGCAACTTGTCTAAAATTTCAGATAAATCTGCTAATGAGGACAAAGAACAACCAGCTGGGGACGACGGCGTCCCGTCTATCAACAAGAACTCTTAGATCTGCAACCACGATACAGAGACTTGAACACAAAACCCTTGCACGTGACTTCCACCCTAACCCCCCAGTACACCCAACGTGCAAAGCCCTAAAATTACTTGAGTCTGAAGGACCTGGAGCCGCAACTCCGGCCATTGTACCGCGCGATTGAAGGAAGGAGGAAGATACTAAGGAAAGAAGAGTCAAAACATCAGGTGTCAAGGGTACGGCGGCTTGAGAAATGAACGCTAAGACAAATAGGGAGAACTAGATGACGGCGAGAGATGGGTGTGATGTAAGCTGGGAAGCTGGGAGTTAGCCGGGAGAAGCTGCTAGACATTTCCCAAATGGGACCTTCAGGTTCACACAAGCTTCCGCGTCCACAACATTTTTTTCCCCGAACCAAAAACGGCTTCGATCTTGTCATTGTTATGGATGAACGGCTGGATGGACATCGAAGGTAAGGGAGGGGCAGGAACACACGTTTTCCTGACCTAGTGCGTCGAGATCTCTGTGTTCCACCTTGATCTTGTGGTTGGGCCTGGAAGTCTTCAGGGAGGAGGAGGTGACGTGGCACGAGCAAATCAACGTCACAGCGCCGCCACCCGTAAGTGCAGGTCATGGGGCAGCTTGTAAAAGAAACATGGGGCTTCCAGAGGCTCTCACTCCAGTGGCATCGGAGTTGCATTCCACACCAGCAAAACAGATATTTGCAAACACCAATCATGAGTGTTTCACCACCTCGCCCCCAGCCTTCCTAGAAGTTGGTTTACGAAATTAGCAAACTCACTGTAGATTCATTTATTCGACCTGCTTACATTTCACTATGTATCTAAAAGTGAAATCCATGAAGTGTATGTGCATTAATCTGCAAGACGGCGATCCACACAACTTGAATTAAGACAGGCTATTAGATATTGCTGCCGCGGTTGTGTTTACCTGCCACAGAGGAGACATGACCCAACATAAGTTGGAGTGCTTAAGACACTAAACCGAGCACAGGTACGGTACAAGCTACGGCAGATGCAAGCAAGTTTGGCGAAAACGGGGTAATATGCTACTAGCACAGGAAGGCCCAATGCATGAGAGTGAGGGGGGATGCTGGAGGCAGCGAGTCTCACCAGAAGCACCAAAGATGGCATACTGGCGGGAGCTGCGAGTGAAGCGGGCGGCCAGGAGCCATGCAAGGAGCAACACAAAGATGACACCGAAGACACACGCCACCACAATGCCTGCAATGTCACTGGCCGTCATGCCTGCAAGGACACCACAAGAAAAAAGAGTGAGAGTAAGAGCAAGAGCGAGAGGCCAAAAGGGGAGTAAGACTCAGCAATTCAGCACACTTCCAAGATAAATGTAAACCACCAGCACCCCCAAGGAAAAGGCACCAAGAACACAAGCAGGCAGTCACCTCGGTACACGTATCCATCAACAGGTGTGCGCGTTATCTCATAAATCTCCACAGCAGACAGCAGAGGGGGCTTGGGCGAGTCCGGCATAGCAGGCAGCCACACCCGCAGCTCGCGTCCGTAATTCTCCGCATACACCGAGTGATTGAAGAATATCGGCAGTGTGACTCCCGTCAAAGCAGACCCGTTAGCAGCCTCAATAATGTCAAACCCGTTGGGCCAGAGCTTTCCCTGCTGGTCCACTGTATCTTCGTCCTGATGCGCACCCTCATGGCCGAATATGCTGTCCTCTGACAGCTTAATGTCAAACCGCCGGTCCCCCTGCTTCACACCGTCTTCTATCTCCGCGAAGTGCAACCGCACATAGAACAGGTGGAGGGGATTTTGAGGGTCAATTCGGTAAATAAACCCTGTTGCGCGGCCAACACCAGCCTCCTTACCCACCCGGGCATCCTGAAAGATTTGCGTGGGCAGCTCGTCGGGCAGCGAGCCTGCATTTGAAATGGGCTGGGTGGTGGAGAGGGTGGCAAACTGCAGTGGCTGCAGGCCCCTGGTAGCCCCCCCTCCAGGAACGCCAGGCTTGACGTCGGGAGCCCAGGTTCGGTAACCAACGTCCTCAGCATCGGTAACTTCTGGGCCTCCGAAGTTGACTCGGAGCATGGTGGTGAGGATAGCGTCGGTGCCGATGCTAGCTGCATCATATGACTCCGGGTGGATAGGGAGGAATTCTAGGGAATTGACCAAGGGAGTGGAGGAAGGAGCGCCGAGGAACGGCGTAAAGCAGACGGAGATGGAGCCCTGTAGCGCGTATACCAGGAAATCGGAGTAAAACGCAGATGATGGGAACTGCGGCTCGACGGCTGGGAGCGTGAGGGTCTTCACCAGTAGACCGTTGATCTTAACGTCGAAAAAAGGAGGCGACGACGCGCCGTCGTAGTTCCGATACGCGACGCCGACGCGGACGAGGTATCGCGCGCCGGTGGTGAGCGGGACGTTGTAGCAGCCGCCGCCCTGGCCGGACTGGCTGTTGGAAGGGGGGAAGGCGCGCAGCGAGGACTCGACGGGGGAAGCGAGGCGCGACTCGTTGGCCCCCGGCAGCTGAATGGCCTCACCGCCGTCGAAAAACTCGTCCGCCTGCCACTCCACTCCGTTTGCCACTGATGGCTGTGCGCTGCCGCAGTCAATGCGCACGGGGACTGGCGCGCGGGGGAAGGGCGGGGGGACGGTGTGGGTGTGGGTGTGGGGGTGGGTGGGTGGGGGTTCGGGGAGGGATGAGTGGCGGGCGACAGTGGGTAGGGGAAAGAGGAAAGGGGAGGGACGGGCACGGGGAGTGGAACCCGGAATGCGCGCAGGGTGAGGGGGACGTAAGGAGGTTGGTGCAGTCACCGGATAGCGCAATGTCGGAAAGGCTTGACAGGATGAGTCGGAATGACGGAATGACAGGTGAACAAAAGGAGGTTCAAGTGACGGAATGAAGCGAGAACGGGGGTCGGGAGAACACAAGCGCGAGCCAGTCACAAGCAACCCAACCCTAAGAAGCGGGGTTGTAAAAACAGTAGCAATCTGATGAAACGAGAGGACCGATTAAACTACGCAAAAAGGTGTTGTGTGAACGAGCGGTACCGGCATCGAGGCCTCCTGTGGACGCGCCGGCCGCGGAGATAGCTGCGAGCAGCGAGAGAGCGAGCACGGTCAAGGACCCGGACGGCACCTTCCAAGGAACCTTCATTGTCCCGGCCATCAGCCGCAATGCGCGCACGGGTCGTCGAATGTAAAAAGTATGAGTTGATGATTGCGGTTATGCTAAGCAGTGCGCGCCAGAGTTGAGCGAGAGGGCGCGGCGGATCGTCAACGCGGATCGAGAACGGCGCGCACGGCGCAGCCTAGGACCTAACGCGGACAGCGACGAAGGATTTTGTTTCCAAGCGCTGAGCGCTAGGAGGGTGATAGATAGGTCAGGCCTGCCGTACACTTTCGAAGGGAGTGGGTCGAAGTTGTACATTCTTGAGATGCCGCGCCGAAGGGGTGTGTGTGGATGTGAGGGTGAGGGAGGGGGGGGAGGGGTTGTGCGCTTTTCCGCTAAGGACCAGGTTGCGCGGTTTCACGGTGCAGATGCGCAGACGGCGGAAGTGATGCCCCCGACCGCCTCAGCGGTGATAAGCGCGGGTGGAGGAGGAGAAGAGGGGCAGGGTAGATTATGACCAGATTGAACCAATCAGATTGCAGAACAATTCATGGTCCCACTCAACAGTAAAAAGGATCAGCAAACACAGAATTCCGATATTGTAAAAGCCTATCACCGCTTAATAATCGGTACAATGTGCAAATCTGTAAGGAAATTTCTTTTTTCCTTACTTCGTGTCCCTGCTCAGCGAGTACATCACTGTTCCCGCCAACAGCACCCAGCAGTAATCCGTTACCACTCACGAAACTCGCCTCGACACTGATCCCGCCAGCGTTCACGACGCGACTCAACCTCACGGTTCGGTTGGTAACCCGCGCTCCGGACCTATCGCCTCGACATTTCCCAACCTCGGCGCTAGGCCCGTCGCACACCCCATTTTCCCACATTACCGTTGCCACTATAGTTTCGCTGTATATTCTTCGCGCATGCCTTCGCTCATTGTACTCTTGCTTCGATAGTGCAATTCTCGCTCGCTCACTCAATTGCACTCGTAACACTTGGTATTCAGAGCCTACGATCTCTTCTCGGACCGCACCCACACCTTCGCTTCCCCACTATCTCAAATTTTGGGGGGGGTAGACGTCTCTCAGCGAAACAAGCACCGCCGCTCGTAGTGCTCTCTCGTAAGCACACACGGCCACGACAGAGGCTCTCGCTGAGCTTGCCCGACAACCCCGCCATGGCTGAATTCAACATCGCGACGCTGTGTCAGAATGTCGATGTTTGTCTAGCCTGCAGTGGGGTACTCTATAGCGAGTACAATCCAATTAGGGTTTCCCATATGTATCTCAACTGCTGCTAGTGAAAACCCCTCTTTCCTGTTTCTAGCTTGTGCCTGCTATTTCGACATGCTATCAGAGCAGGTCGACCCTCCTGGGTCGATCCTGTGGATGGGCCCGCCACCTAATGCTTCCGCTGCTGTCCTGCCTATCGCGCGCCCCGGGCGCGCGATGTGTTCTGCTTGCCGCGCGCTCGGGTGCACGGCGTATTTTTCATCCCGCCGCGCACCCTGCCCACCGTGCGCCCCGTGGCGCGCGGCGGTTTTCTGCCCCGTCGATCCGCGCGTCGCCCCCCGTCGCCCGTCGCAGCGCCCCCGGGGACCCGCGCGTCGCCCCCCGTCGCCCGTAGCGGCCCGCGCGACCTGCGCCAGGCCCGCGCGCGGCCCGTACAGCCCGCGCAAGGCCCGTACAGCCCGCGCGCGGCCCGTACGGCCTGCGCCAAACCCGCGCGCGGCCCGTACGGGCTGCGCCAGGCCCGCGCGCGGCTCGGGCAGCCCGCGCGCGGTTCGTCCGGCCTGCGCCAGGCCCGTGAGCGGCCCGTACCGTCTGCCCCAGTGCCGCACGCCATCCCCCGAGCTTCTGACCGCACTCCTGTGTTAGGGTTTGGGGGTGGAGAGTATGGGGGTGACGTGTGTGTGAGCCGTCCCCTGCTCCTCCTCCTCCTCCGTCTCCCACTGCTGCAGCTGCCGCTGAGGGGGGTGGATGTGTTGGAGCCGTCGGAGTGGTACGAGGGGGGTGGCGTGTGAGCGGTGCTAGTGGTTCAGCAGGGGGTGTGTGAAAGGGGTGTGGGACAGTTGGGGGAGGTTGACCGGAGGTAGCCGACTTGTCGTCCGCAGCGCCTGAAGTCCAGAGAGCCACGACCCCCTGTGGCCGTGTAGTCCGGGGCTCTGCGCCCGGTAGCCACAGTGTGAGCACTCCTGGTAGTCCAGAGAGCCACGACCCCCTGTGGCCGTGTAGTCCGGGGCTCTGCGCCCGGTAGCCACAGTGTGAGCAATCCTGGGAGCACAGTGAGCCAGCTGCGCCTGTCGCCGTGTAGCCCGGGTTTAGCCTGGTAGCGTCAGTACTGCGCACTCCTGTTGTCCGTGTGTCTGCAGCTTCAGCCGTCGCCTCTCATCTTCTCGTCCTCCATAGTTTCTCCTCCTCCTCACTTGCCCTCTGTGATAGCCTCTAGCTTTGCTTATCCTTGTGAACTATTGCACTGCCTGCTTGTTGTGTTGATTGTACCCCACTTTGACTATGGGGGTGTGTCAGAATGTCGATGTTTGTCTAGCCTGCAGTGGGGTACTCTATAGCGAATACAACCCAATTAGGGTTTCCCATATGTATCTCAACTGCTGCTAGTGAAAACCCCTCTTTCCTGTTTCTAGCTTGTGCCTGCTATTTCGACACGCTGACGCAGGAGCAACTCGACCGTCTCGTGCGCCAACTCGAAGATTCGACACTCGAAATTGCGGCACTTACGGCGGAACGCGATTCCGCTTGCCAGCAATCAACGGTGAATGCTCCAGCACCTGCACCCGCAAATGCACCTGCGCAATCAGAATAACCGATCGTCATCTCATCAGGCACATTGACACAACACGACAGCGTGGGACGGGGCTCAGGCGCAGCCAGTGATGGCGCCGTTCAATCGATGCCTGACATGGAGAGAAATAGGGCCGCACCAAGCCCGCGTGAGCCTCGCGAAGCTCGTCGGCACGTAGAGTTTGCAGCAACAAGTGGCAGCCACGACATCATGGCACAAATGCCACTCAAGCCGCAGCGCCCGCCCTGTTTCGATCGGAGCCAACGTGGAGGTCCGACGGTTCAATCGTGGGTCTTCACGATGAACGTGTTCTTCGACGCGAATTACGTCGAAACGGACGCAGCGAAGATTCGCTACGATGTTTCGCTACTGAGGGGCCCCGCCATGGACTGGTGGCGAGTCATTGTGACGTTGCCACGCGCCTACGAGCCGCCGTCGCAAGAGGAAGGGCCCACGGGTCCAGCCGTCAGCTGGAGTTCATTTTGCGAAACCGCACAGTACAGCACGTGGGATGCGTGGTGCGCAAGGCTTCGGCCGCACTTCGAGCCGATCGCGGCTTCTATTCCGGCGCATCAGAGACTGCGTACTTGGCGGCAGCTCGGATCAGTTCAAGACTACACGAGCGGTTTTCTCGCATTATGCGAACAAGTCGGCTACATGCACGAAGCGGAGCGGGTGGACCGTTACGTCGGAGGGCTGAAGCCGGACATCTCGCACGAAATCATGCTACGCGGGCTCTCGAATTTCAACGAGATCCTCGCGCTCACAGAGAAAATCGACATTTTGCGCCGTCCGAGACCGGGGTCCTACTACGGACATCGCCCTCGGGGACCGATCGAGCACGCCACCGTACATGCCGTACATGCCGTTGCTCTCGAATTCAAGGGGCGCTGCTTTGCTTGCAATAGGCCGGGCCATCGCAAGAGTGAGTGTCCAGAGGAGCTGAGGCGCCGCGGAGCAGAGCAGGGGAGGGAGTCTCCAAGGCAGGGAAACGCCAACAGTCAGTAGAATTCGGGCCAACTACTGACGAGACTGCCTGCTCGCCCAACCTCACCGACCCTCACCGACGCTCACCGAGTCACGTACCGATTCACGCTATCGATCGGGCTCGGATGAATAAGGAGGGTACAGCGACGGATTGCCCTGTACTGATCCACGGGAAAATACAGGGAGCAGCAGTGAAAATTGTCAAACATTGTATATGTTTCTATTCTGTAGGCTATAGTGGGTTTAGCCTTAGGGGGTACATCATTCTAGGTTTTCCTACTTGTACTCCCAATGCTGTTAGTTCATCATTCCTCTCTCATTTTGACATGGTATTACGAGCCTAGGTTAGGAACCTAGGACCGCTTGTTCCTAAGGGCCCACCGTTCCGCTAGAAGCGCCCTCGTGCGCCCTACCTTCCTCGCGCCCTCGTGCGCCTCCTTACTAGTGCGCCCTCGCGCGCCCTCCCTCTCACACTGCCCGTGCGCAGCCCGCTAGCCGCCCGCGCGCGGCCTGTTTTTCGCGCGCGCAGCTCGCTAGCCGCCTGCGCGCGGCTCGTTTCTCGTGCGCGCGACCCACTAGCCGCCCGCGAAGTCGACGCTGCCCGCGCGCAGCCCGCCGTGGCCTCGCGCGGCCCCTAGCACAGCCCGCGAGCTGCCCGTCGACCGGCGCGTGCCGCCGCCTCGCCCTCGTAGGCCGCCGCCCGCACGTAGGCCGCCGCCCTCACGTAGGCCGCCGCCCGCACGTAGGCCGCCGCCTCAGGACAGCCGCAGACCGCGCGCCGGCCCACCCTCCCTGCCCGAGCCGCGCCGCGCCGTCCTGCCCGAGTCGTGCCGCCTTGACCGAGCCGCGCTGCCCTACTGTGCACCACCTGCAGCAACTGCTGCTCCTGTTACTGCTACTGCTACGGTTCCTACTGCTGCTACTCCCACTATGGCCAGTCCTACCGTTCTCACTTTTGACGCTGAGGGCCGTCCGATTAAGTTTGACGTCTGGCTCGATGACCTGCACCTGTTCCTCCAGATCACTGCCAAGGACGATGTTTCCCTGTTTGACCACACGTCCGGCGCCGCTCCCGCACCTGCTGCTACTGCTGACAGTACGGCTCGCTCACAGTTGCAGACCCGTGACGCTCACGCTCGCCTAGCCGTTCGCAGCCACCTGCCGTTAGATGAGCGCGAGCATTTTGGCCAGCATAAGACCGCTCAGGAGCTGTACGATGCGGTAGTTGCACGCTACTCCTCCCCTGCTACTGCTGCGATAGGCCG